GTTCAGGATCTTGTCCATAGGATCTTGCATTTACATATTTCAGTGCATTTGTAAATTCACAACGAAACATGCTCAATGTAAAAATTATAAAAATTGAATTTAGGAAATTTAAAAATTTAAATGACATCCAGTTTGATTTCAATTTTGCGAACTTAATATGTAATCTAATTTAATATGTAATCGAATTTAATATGCAATCTCACCGAAAATGCTTGCTACAATTTCATTGTTTCTAATCAAACACAATTGTACAATTTTTTATAAAAAAAATATCCAGGTTATTTATTTAAATGTCTCGTAACCGCGTAAGCCTCGTAAACTTGCATCGAAAACCACGCGTTTGGAATAATATCCTGAATATTTTCTTAAAAAAATGTACAATTGTGTTTGATTAGAAACAATGAAATTATAGCAAGCATTTTCTGTGAGATTGCATATTAAATTCGATTACATATTTAATTCGCAAAATCAAAATCAGAATTCATACTAAATTAGATTACATATTAAGTTCGCAAAATTGAATTCAAACTGGATGTCATTTAAATTTTTAAATTTCGTAAATTCAATTTTTATAATTTTTATATTGAGCATAGACGTATTGAAGTACGTCCATTTGAAAATCTAGGCGGCTCTCTTCTGGGACCTTCTCAAACACTTCGCCAATCGCACCCAAGAAATTGTTGTGTGTTTTTTTTTTGACTATCCACAAACTGACTTACTTCGTTGACTAGATCGTTAAAGGCGGCGTTCTCATCGTTTTTTTTCTTTTGTCTCTTAGCCGGCATTGAGGCAGTGGTTTCTTGCTCTTCTATTATAATGTTCCCACTCTCGCCTATTTGGAATCCAAAGGAAGTATCCAGTATATCTGGTTCTTGACCGAGAACTTCTGGCGTTTGGGAGACGATGTTTGTTGTTGTCCTTAAAATATGTACATATAAATTACAATTTAAAATATAAATACTTGTTGTACAAATGTAAAGTACACTTACTGTCTGGGCGTGACCGTGTCTTTCAAAAACAACATAGCTTCGTAATATGGCCAAGCTCGTCTAAACGACGCAGCACTTCCGCTAGGTTGTTGATCAACCTTCAATTCTATTCCATATCGGTCTCTTAACGATTTCCATCGCTTTCGGCAGTTTTCCTCTGTAAAGTAAAAATATAGTATTCGTCACAATTATTCGTCACAAATTTGTTATAATTTGGTTCGTCCTATTACAAAACTGCTATATGTTTGAAAAACTCTATACTAACCAGGATGTCCCACAGCAGCAGCTACATTTCGCCAAGCCAAATCTTTCTTCACCCGATCGCGGTAACTAAGCTGTCTTTTGTCCCACAAGCAGTTGTGTTTTTCAATTTCTGCTATAAGTTTTTCTTCGAACATCTTGCACTAAAGCTTCCGATATACCAACCAACACACAAGAATCGGATAATACAGCAGCCGGAACGATAAAAAAGTAAGGTATCTGTAAAAAATATTGTTGTTAGCAACAAATAATATTATTAATAACAAATAATTGTTTAATATAAACTCTTTTACCTCCAGTTGAATATTACGCCTTATAAACACGGGTGGAAGTGGCACAGCCAAATGAAACTTTATGAAAACCAACGAATCTGGTGGCCGGAACGATAAAAAGCAAGGTATCTGAAAAAATAATGTTGTTAGCAACAAATAATTGTTTAATATAAATTATTTTACCTAAAATTGATGAAGAACGCGATAAAAACTGCACACAAGCAAAATCGACGCGAAAAATTGAAATGTCAAGAGTTGTCAAAAGCCTACAGCGCGCTGTCAAATAGAGATTTCGGCTAATCGATACTTTAAAGCGCTTCAAGCAAGTGAAGTAAAGCTGCCACTAGGCCAACTTTCATACATTTTAGTAGATTTTAAAAATTGTTTGACAGTTCTCAAAGCCAAGCAAGCAAAGCAAGCGTGCATTGGGCCAATACCTTAAGGGCCGTAAATTTATCTATTTTAAACTATAGTTAAATCGGTAATAGATAAGTTAACAACCCCAACACTTTTACAGTATGTATGTATAAAAACGTAAGGAACATACAATACATATATGTATGTATGTAAATATATCAGTCTTTCTTAGTTTAAAACTTCATCTCTTATATAAATGAAAAAAGTTAGATCAAATTAAGCATATATGCCAAGTATGAATAAACTCTCCGAAGGGCTAAAAAAAGGGCTAGGGGCAATTTTAAATTTATGTGGGCAAAAAAACTATGT